ATCATCATCATGTATCATCATCATCATCATTAATATTTGCTGTACCTGTTTAAGTCCTTTGTATGGCCCTAAGGCCGAAACTGTGTTGCCTTGCACCATAATGTAACACTGTGTTAAAAGCTCTAGGGCCTGAAGAAATAAAAAAATTGTTACATAGATAGTATGGTCATTATATAGATAGTATCCTTGCAGCAGATTACAACCATTACTTATTCTAAGAATCAAGAATTTAGAACAGAGTATGCACCTTTAATGTTGCACCATCAGGTCCAATCAGCCTTTGCCGTCTTTTAACAAATCTTTCTTTATTTCGCACCAAGGAACCTATCTTGATAATATCACATGCCATTTCATCTTCCAGCACTCTTTGGGCCTGTAGTAGCAAAAACTGATCTCAAATACACAATACATCTCTCATGTCAACTTACTGTAAACTCTTCAAATTTTATCAAACCCTAAAACAACCTGTGAGCTGATTCAAGTCAGGGCACGATTAAATCATAAATCAAAAAAACTAAAACAACCTCTCGGCTGATCTATAGTGAGATAGGGCAGGGCTGACTCAGAGAGCAAATTGGAGCTTAGCATTTTAGATTCTGTGGAGGGAGGAAAACCAGAGAACCAGAAGGATAAAAAACCCTTGAATCAAGAGAATGATCCAACAAACTGTAGTTACAGGAGATGCTGAGTCCAGGAATTGAACCAAAGGCCCCAGAGGTGAGAGGCAAGAGCACTACTTTATGTAAGTAACTCACCTGCTCAAAAGGTACACTGCGAGCCATTAATTTGATCATATCTCTAGCTTTAATAATAATGTATGGGTCGTATGTTTTCCTCGTAGTCGACACTGTCATGCTACCTTCTATCAAATCCAGCCGACAATGTAGATGCTGAAATAAGAACAAATAAACATTGAAAAGATGGTAAAAGTTGATGGTCAACATTAAAGTTTCAGTTTGTTCTCAAGAATCAGGTCATGGTGGATGTGAGAAGTGAAGCTAGGTTAACGTTTAACGGTTAATGCTGTTGCGGTCACCCTGTCATATATATCACAGTATTTTTTTCAGTTATCATATTTCCAGTTTAATATATGGCGAAACTAATAAATAAATAAACTTACATGCTCTTTTAAGAGTTTTTCAACTGCCGGCCACACTTCCTTAAGATACTTTTCTCTATATTTTGGAAAGAGAGTAGCAAAAGAACTCTCCTCTACAAGGCCATGTGGGTTGTGCTCTTGGTTAAACTTGTCAATCTTCCAATGATCAATTCCTTCATGATCCCATGCTGTTATATGAAGGTAGAAGAAAAGACAGTTCAGTAAGAGTAATATAATCGTACCCTGTTTCTTGCTAACAAAACTTCAGATAAATTGAAAAGAATACTAGTGAGTAAACTAGTTTGAGCTTTGCCAGTGTGTAAAGCATTTAGGAATGATATAAAGTAACTCAAACAACATCACAGGGGAAAAAAGGATTCCCAAATTGGGAATTTGTTGGGAATTTTGTTGAATTCCCAATGAATTCCCATCCAATTCCCAGAGAGAATGAAATTGGGAACGTGGCACTGATTCCCAATGTTAGTTTGTTGGGAATTTTGTTTTTCTATTGGGTATTAGAAGGAAATTCCCAACAATAAATCCCAACGTTAGTGTTCGAATTGGGAATTCAAGGAAATTCCCAACAATTCCCAATTTGGGAATCCGGTTTTTTTTCCTGTGCATGCTTTTTTCTTGCTGGGTTTCACTTGACGTCTTTTCCTGTCTCGTGTGGAATGTTCATCAGCTGAATCACAAGTTTCAATAGAATTCTTCCTGGTTGACACCAAATGGTAGTCAATGTTTGACCATCATTTGGAGCAGATATGAGATTTTAAAGACTTTTAACAGCTGATTGAAAGCCAGCAACAAAGCCAATATTTGTTATCAACACATTTTTTGTGCAGCAGGCATTTACTTAAGTGAAATGACTATCAAGAATTCAACTTAATGAACAAAACTGACACAAAATTCCTGGCTTAAAAGTTAAACTTCTTCCCGACACACACGTGGTTTCAAGACCTTACGTTTATCACGCCTCCATTTGTTCTTCTTGCTTTTCTCTGAAATTAAAAACAAGAAATAAGAAAAGCATTACATTATAAGTTATTTTGTGCAGATAATAGCGCATAAAATAGAACATTTTCTCCTTATTCTTTAACAACCTTCAGTTTGTTGTCCTTCGTCCGCCATCTTGGAATATAAACTGACCGTTTGGTACCAGTTCCTTACCCAGCATGCATTGCGCGATAAAACCACTGGGTACCCAACTAGCAGTTTTAAAACCACCTTATATTCGTTACATTTAGACCCAATTTTCTTCCCACGTGAACAACATTAAATTTATAACGATAATATAAATATGTGGATGCATAGTAAAGAGAGGGATAATAGGGCGTATTTAAGGTTAATCTCGTATATCACGAAAAAATTTATGTATCCTAAACTTCACGCATATTGAACGCAAAGCCCCGGAAACCATGGATCAAATCCTTCACGTTCACACAATATACTTCTGCTTTTTTCTAGGTTAGCGGCGAAAATATTGTGTCATCTCTTTACGTGATATCTCCCTTAACTAACGATAAAACAAAATAAATAGCTGAAAGAATAAGGTCATGGTGTCTGCGCTTGACGAATCAACAAGTCGTTCTTGTTGACCTTATGATGACGTTTGGCGTGCTTTTCATTCTAAACTGTCTGGAGGCGATAAAGCTAAACAGTGAAGAAGTAGCTTGGTCTCAGTCGAGATAGCCCTGACCAATTCACGCACAAAGGGACGACTCACGTTATTTTGACTCGGAGCTTTGCAACGATGGCGGACGAGAGATTTAGCGTCGTAGACTATGTAGTCTTTAGCATCATGCTTCTTATTTCTGCAGCCATCGGGATTTGGTACGGCTGCGGCCCAGGAGGGAAGCAAACGACTACCAAAGAATACCTTCTTGCAGACCGTAAGATGCGAATTCTACCAGTGGCTATCTCTCTACTTGTCTCGTATCTCTCTGCTATCACGCTACTCGGAGTACCATCTGAGATTTACACGTACGGAGCACAGTACTACGTTCTGATTGTGTCCTACATTATTATTTGTGGAGTGGTAGCTATTATTTTTGTCCCGATGTTCAGAAGAATTAACATTACGTGTGCAAATGAGGTCAGTAAACCGCGTTGCCGCATTGCAATAGAAAACTTCTTTTCACTCACACACAGCACATTATTATTGCAAAACCTCTTGTCGAACGGCGCCAAAATGGCCAAGTCCAAAGAAGTTCAAAGAAGTGCAGAAGACATACAGTCAAAAGTGTTTACATAGTATTACAAAATCTTGACAGCTTTCTTGGGCGGCTCTCAATGTCGGGCCTCTGTAGTATACCACTTTAACAATCCGCCTGTTTCAAAATAAGGTTATCAAAACTATTTTAAAAAGGTCAGATCCTTTATTTAGCTCTGCGGACGTTTGAGTTACTTCTAGTTTTATGGCATCTGTTTGATCGTGCGCCGTAAATTATATATCCTAAAAAAGCATTGGAAGCCAGACTTGTGTCTTCATGACATGGTCAGAAAAAAGTAAATATTTCCTTAGCCTTTGAAATTCTTGCGAAACAGGGTCAACATTGGTTATGTCTGTGATGGGAAAATTATGATTAAGAACTTTTTGAAGGATTTTTTCTTACTTCAGCTTAGTGAGTCTAGAGAGCATACAATAAGAATTATTAAGCCAGAGTTAATAAGTTATACTTCATTCATAATTGGTATCATCCCTCTGTTGTTGACTCGTGAGCGATATTGCGTCATGGATGACGATGAAGCGTGAGTTTTATGTGACAAAGCATCCACAGGTAGCCCAAGCTTGGTTTCTG